TTTATATCATAATAAATACCTGTAGGTATTAATGAATCAATAATACCAGAATAAATATGATTAGTGTCATTGAAGATTATAAATTATGTACTCAATGATTCCCTCATACTTGTACAATTTAATGTATAGACTAGCTGTGTATAATAGAGTTAATTATATAAAAAGTCAATATATTAGATTTGTGAGTTCTTATCGAAATATATCAAATTTTTTGAACCGGTTTATGAACCGGATTTTAAATTTAGGGTTCCGGCAAAAAAAATATTAGCCTGATAATGTCAATAAAAACCTGAATATATTTTGTAAATACTAAACTCTTCATACTATGTATTGCCGCTATAACATACCTCTTTTTTCTCAAACATGCTACCATTTCCTCGTCTCTTTCACCCAAAGGACAATTTAAACTTTGGGCTACTTGCATTGTGGACTGTAGTGGGTACTTGCCATTGCCCAATCGATAATGCTGATCCTGACATAAGAATCGCACGATGAAACAATCCTGAAAACAAGAATAATATATTGGCATAATTATATCAAAATTATTAGATAAACTGCCTATAAAACTCAAGCACATATAACTGAAAGAAGAACCAAGACTAGAAATTGGCTCAGCATTACTGATAATTTTTTGGTGTTGCTTATGACATTAAATTCATACACAGTAAGTGGCGTGAAAATTTTAATGTGATTTAAAATTAATTGGTTTGGATTAAATAATACCATTTGCAACGGGCGAGACCATCAGAAGGCTTGCACAGGCCGCACCAGTGCCATGACCTGCAACTGTGACAGCACCTCTGTCTCCACCAAATCGTTCAATGTTGTCTTTTATCCATTGCAAAGCCGCTATTTGGTCCAAAAGTGCAAAATTTGATACTGTATGCTCATTAATACCTGGACGCATAAACCCTGAAACATTAAAACATTGATTCAAAAATTGATTAAATTACTATAAGGAATATCCATGATAACGCAGCGCTATAATAAAATTGTTTATGATATTCGAAAAGAAAACAAATTTCTGGTTCAATTATAATAATTCGTGTTTCTGGATATATTATGACTTTGGTGTCAAATTAATCAAATTTCAAGTTCAATAAAGATTTATTACATTGCACATACGCAGCAACACAGCAAACAAAACAAGTATTATAAATTAATATAATTTATCAAATATTTAATGTTTTTTGATTGAGTAAAAAGAATGTAATATTAATTTTAAACAAACCCAAAATGCCCAGCCTGAAGTTGACAGTGACGACAACCACTCTCGCATAGGCTGCCAAGACTGATCCATCATATGGATTACCGCTGCCCCATTCATAAGATTCACCATGGATGAAAACTAGTACAGGATACTTATATAATGGACCTGTGTCTTCTGGAAATCAAAAAATTATTAATAGAAGAATATAATGTATTATTATAAAACATATTGTAATAAAAAAATCATTTCACAACACTTTTTACTGTAAAAATATTTGAGGTATGTTTTTAACATTTTGTTCATAATAAAATTAGTAACAGCTGTTTTTTTTATTTATGAACTTTGTTTGATTCTAATTCTAGGAGAATGACTAGATAGTTTGCTGAATATTACCTGATTCCTTTTATACATGAAAAAATTCCAAAATTAGAGATCAATTATCGTATAAAATACTTATATATTCAAAGTGTTTTGTTTTTTGCTGAGTGATCGAACATTTTTACACAATATTAACTTCTGAAACCTTACCTCCACGTGGCACAAATATCAATAGTTTGACTTCATGCATATGTAATCATAAGTATAACAATTTCTTCTCTTCATAATAAGACATGCCTGAAGTTGAAGTGAAGATATATTCTGACATTTGTGCCATTTTGAGGCTAGATTTTAGATTTTAATTTTGTATATAATGATATTTCAAACAACCAAGATCTAGCTTTTTAACAGTTCATGGCCAACTCATTGGATTTCTCAAAATAAAAGCCTGATAACTTAACATAGCTATTTTATCCAAGAAATAGCCCCTATGTTGGATAATTGTCAGCTTGGTGGTATATGACATATCATATAAATAGATTCTTCTCATATAATTTTTCATATAAACAGCCTTGGTAAATAATGAGGTGTCTACAAGTCAAGATTTGTAGAGTTTTCTACAATATGCATATATGTAAGTTTGTTATATATTATTAAATATGAATATATTAAACATTTGCTTATATAATATTTTTTAATTCATAAAAGTAAAATAATCGTTTATACACGTTACTACTCAGCTGCGTAAGTATTCTCAAAAGCCTAAAACAAAATATTTTCATTCGAAATATAAATACATTTTTATTACAAACATATGATGATGGATTTATTCGGCAACGTTTAGTAAATAATAACATCCTTTGACTTGTTTAAAGTGAGCATATATACATAAATTCAAAATTACTAATGTAGATATAGTAGTATCTTTTATATATGTTTCATTCTTGTTATAGTTTGTGATACGCATTTATATGGTCAATCAAACAAGTTATATTGAAAAATATAATCATAAAAAAGCAAGAGAATAAATACAGTAAATACATTAAAATTTAACATGCTTTAAAGGTTACGTTAATTTTGAAAATATCGAATACAAATAAAATGATTGCAAACGATTTGGTTATTAAATCAAAATTACAAAAATTCTATGTCACAATTTTTGCAGAAGTATCAAGAACATGTTCAATAAAATAATTGTGAAAATATAGCTTAAAGCATCCTATTGTGTAAAAGCATTATGTGAAATATTCAGGAATAATGTTACTTTTTGTAATGTTTTAAATTAATTCATTTCGTAATCCAGTTAACTTTCTACAAAGTTTATTTTAAATTCACAATGCGTATCAAGAGTTGTCCTAATTAACAAAAATCAATCCTCATCCTTATGTACTTCGGAATGTCAATCAACTTGGTCTAGTATTTATGAATAAATGAATATTGATGTTCTTTTAAAAGGTCCACCATCTAAACGAATTTGTAACTACACATCTTTTTATAGAACATCAATATTCATTATATAAGGATTATAATAATAATAAATAGTAACTTCCTGAAGGCAGGTTCATGGTATGAGAGCACCACAAATTGCAAATATGCATTTGTATTTTATTCACACTGGGACTAAGTGAATAATTTAGAAAAGTATATAAAAAAAACTCTAAAAACATGCAATTTCATATAATTCTTATTTAATGTAAGTCGAAATATTACATTCAAAACTAAATTAAGTAGTTGCATATATCGCATATTTTTGTAATTATGCAATAATGAGAAAATTGAAATGGTAGATCCGATTTTCAAAGCAGAGAACTGAAGTTTTTATTAAGTCAAAGTCCAAATATTTATACCTAACAACATTAGCATGTTTGATAATTAATATGTGCGTATAATTCATAGAAGTTGAATTCATTGTGTCCGATCATAATATAATTATATATTACAATCTCATTAAGACAATTAAGTAACTGTTGGATTATTTGTTTCATTTGTAATGATTATTACAGATAAAATCTATAAATGTAGACAAAACACATTTGTGCCAAACTTACTAATTTATTTCCATTGTCGAATATGTTTTCTTAACTTCAAGTCCAACTCTGTCCAATTGGCTTTATTAACTTCCCGTAGGGCAAGTTATAGTAATCGCAAAAAAATCGAAAATGAAAATTTTTATATATCTTTACGTTTCAGAGGTTTCTGAACATTTTGGCATACCTTAGAAAAAATGGATGTATGTGTGTGTGTGTGTGTGTGTGTGTATGTGTGTGTGTATGTATGTATGTATGTATGTGTGTGTATGTATGTGCGGATACAAATTTTCGTCGACGATTTCGGGAACACGGATCAACCGATTTGAATAATTCAAAAAACATTCGATCCGTATTGATAAGGAGACGTGCTGATTAGTTTTTGGCAAAGGCAGGTCAAGCCGTTCCAAAGATACGGGGCAAAAAGTTCCGAAAACGGTAACTCAGTTTTTAAGAGAACGGAGCGTCCGATTTTAATAATTCAAAAAACATTTTATTTGTATTGACAAGATGAAGAATCGATACAACTTTCATGAAGGTAGGTCCAGCGGTTTCGGAGATATAGAGGAAAAAGTAAAAAAATGAGCCATTTGGCGGTCAAAAATGATCATTAGACATATGCACATCAAATTATCAGACATTTTATAGAGATTTTAACAATAAGTATACATTTTGTTAACATTCCTATCGGTTCCGTACCAATGCTTATGCGTAAGACAGCGACGCGGCGCTTACGCGCTTTATATTTTGTCCCTATGTAGTTAAAGCAGTACGATTGCTTTGAAAAAAAGTTCAGATCTTCCACAATATGCCAAAATAAAGAAAAAAAAATTTTTTTCAAAAAAAACAAATTTTTAAAAAAAAAAAATTTTTTTAAAAAAATTTTTTTTTTCAAAATAAAACTAATTTTTTGTCCAATTTATAGTTTCTCAAAAATCTTATTTTTTCAAAGTAATTTTTTTTCAAAAATGTTAATCGTTTTAAAAAAAAAAATAATAATTTTTGGTACGGGAAGTTCCAGCAATTTGCCTTAAGGCACGATGCCCTAATTGCCTTAAGACAGAATTCCACTTACAGCTAGTTAAAAACTTTTCCCGTGACTCATTTCATTATAAAACAGCGCCGCACGCTCTTTTATTTTATTTAAAATCTCCGTCGAAGTTTATTAGAGACTACAAAACCGAGCAATCAGTTGCACTACTTATTATCGATTCTGAAGACGATGGTAATTCAATTTTTGTTTTAGCATTAAAAAGTTGAAGGAGTTCGTTAAGGGTATATTTTTAGTACTCAGAAGTTTATGGGAGAAATTCAGGGACAGCATGATATGATAGAGACCTGACAGAATTTAAAGAGGATGTTTGAAAAATTATCACTGTTTGAAAATATAATACCTTAATGTTGTTGTTAAATGTGGTAAAAGGAATAGCGGTTCCTCAAATAAGACTATAGTATATTTAAAAAAATCTTGCTGTCTTAAAATTGCACCATCTGGAGGCAGTTGAAGGCGCACTACTGAGTAACATTTTAGAATAAATGTTAAGTATCCACGAATCCTCAAATATACTAAATGAGATTTTTTGCATAAAGACAGATTGGAATTAATAAAAGAAATAAAAACATGGTAGATTTTGAAATTTCCTATACCCAAATTACAACTTTTTGGTTCAAAATTGGTCCAAGAATTTATTAGATATTCTTTGTATCAATTTCTGAAAATTGCAGCTTTATAATAATTTATTCAACAGAATCTTGAGTAATGATATCGTTCATTCTGCATTTATAAAAATCATTTTCCTGGACCAATCGCTGGCTTTTCAGAAACTACCTCCGGCGGCATAAAACAAAATATATATGTTTTACGATTTGCTTGCATCCTAGCGACTAGCGCCGTGCATAAATTTCTTTATTTGAAACTGGCAACTCTCGTATATATTGGCAGATAAAAGTTTTAAAATTATTTTTGCAAAATATTACTTTCGTGGTTGCAAGCTTAGCGTTTGGTTTCTATGTGAGCATAGCTGAAGTAAAATGTAACGTTTTTTTTTAAAGGACGATTATCAATTGCTATATGACTAAATTCATATTTATAATTTATTTATAAAGTATCTATGGATTGAATGATTCAAATGAGAGCAAAGTAATGTATATTTCATGAGAAAGTTATATTAAATTTTACCAAAATTTACCGCAGATGTAAAAGCAATTTAACAGCAATATTTTCGCACTAGTACTAAAAGAATGATGACAAATTTTACAGCTTTTTATACAAATTTCAAAACTATATAATTATTTCACGAATAAATTATTTTTATAAGTTGGCAGTGATTAATATTTTAAAAAATCTATAATATACGAATAATTTATTACTATACAACGAATAGGTATATAACAAAATAAATTTTATTAACCGTTTATTTATAGTCATATTTATTATCTTGCTTTGCGATACTTCATTCTCAAATTAGATATAAGTAAAAATAACTTTTTTTAATAATTATTACTATATCTTTGTACGCAAATATAATAACCATGAGTTTGATTTTTAATAATATTATGCAAAATAATTAAAAATTAACAATTAAGTTAAAAAATTCTTATAAGAATATTGAGACAGTTTTATTTGTTATCACAATAAATTGAAAAGAATAGAATCTTAGATTAACCGAATTCGATTCGGATGCCGCCGAAATATAAATTCCGCAATTCGCGAGTGGAAAGGGTTAAATATATAAAATTAAATTCGCTTATTTCATTTTTCTATTCTACTATAAAATTATATCTATTTGCTATCATTTATGTAATATAAGAAATGATAAATTTACTTCA